GACGACGACGACGGCGGCGGCGGCGGCGGCGGCGGCGGCGGCGGCGGCGACGGCGTCGTCGCCGTCGTCGTCGTTCCCCCCCGACCCAAAAATCGTCCCAAACGGGTTTCAGGACGCTTCCCAGGGCCAAAAAGCACCAGCCTCTGTCACCGCGTCCGGCCGCGGCGACGAGGGGGGCCCACGAAGGCCAGAAAGCCTCGGTGGTCGAAGGGTCGGGGGGCGCGCCACGACGACGGCGGCGAAGACGACGACGACGACGACGACGGCGGCGGCGGCGGCGACGGCGCCCTCGCCTGCGTCGTCGCGCACCCCCCGACCCAGAAACGTCCAGAAGGGGTCCCCGGATTTTTCCCAGAGTCAAAAGACACCCGTCTCTGTCGCCGCGTCCGGCCGCGGCGACGAGGGGGGCCCCCGAAGGCCAGAAAGCCTTGGTGCTCGGGGAGTCGGGGGGTGCACCACGACGACGATGACGATGACGATGACGATGGCGATGGGGATGGTGCTGATGATGACGACGACGGTTTCTGGCTTCGCTGCTAAAGCGGCAATGATATGGAGCACGCGCTTGTACTCCTGCTCCTTCTATGGGCAGGCGTAGCGCTCTACTAACACGGCCCAGCTCACGCTTGGCAAGATTTGCCTGCGGCCGTCGTTTCGAACCGCCACCGTACCCCGAGGCACGATGTAGTCCTCAGTATTCAGTCCCATGAAGTCTCCATGTAGTCCTCAGTGCTCATGCCCAAGGATTCCCAAAGGGCTCGGACCCCATATCCTCGAATCTCCCAGGCGAGTCTCCGCTGCGGGTGCAACAAGGGGAAACACGTTGGACCCGAAGTGACATGGGGAAGTCTCGGCGCCAAACAGCTCCCATGAGGTTTCGCGGAGCCCCCAACACGTCCCCAGAGATTGCCCAAAAGAGGCCCGGGCAGCTCCAGGAGGTGCCCCAAGCAGCGCTCAAGTGGCCCCAAGAATGCGCCCTTGTGGATTGTGACCCAAACCCAGGCACTGCGGCGGCATGTGCCGAAGGCTGTAAATACTTGCGGATCGCGCAACTTGAATTCTCCATGAAGAAGAACTTACCCGCCATTGCGCGTCTTGGCATTTTGAGGCGTGCTCGAATGCCTTGTGCTGTCTGGATGAGCTTATGTGATCTTCCAAGAACCCCCCCCTCTCTATCAGCGCCCCGGCGCGTGCACGGCCTCCCTTTCTCCGAGGCTCTGTCCCCATGACGCTCCGAAGATTTCAGCCTCCGAAGATTTCAGCCATTGCAACTTATTCGGGTTTCCCGCGGCTCAATACGCGCCAAGAGGGCTCCAACATGGCACTGCGACGGCTGAACATGACAGCGAACATGCTGAACATGCAAAGAAGGCCTTGGGACAGCCCGAGTAAATCCCACCAGCTCTTTAGGGCGTGAGTGGTCTAACGAGCTCGTTCTGCTAAACCCTCTCCTTCCCCTTCGGGGAGGGGGCTCCCCCTCCCCCCACCCCCTACCCTGGACCTGGAGGGAGGGTTTCGCGAGGAATTGGAGCGCCCAAGATGGCCCAATATGGCTGCAAGAGGGC